TAGAATGATTTAATGTAGTTTTAAATATCCTCCTTTCAGCTATTTGTGTTCTTTTAGGAGGTGTTAAATGTGGAAGCAATTATCCCCTGATGACGGGATTTTTTTCTTGGCTCAGTAAAGTTTTGTGCTTTGTGACACCTGATGCGTAGGTAAGGAAGGGGGCTTATTTGGTATTAATTCGCAGTGAGTGTCTTTCCCTTAGATAGCTAACGGGTGGGATGTCTGCTTCTCTGCGAGATAAATCACAATCTGCTAAATGTGTAGGAGGCCCCTAAAAGCCAGAAAAGATTATATTCCAGCAAAGTGAAATGTGAAAAATCTCTCTTTTGCCTTACTCCATAACTACGGCAAAAAAACAAACCAAAACAAAAACCAAAAGAAAGCTGATTAAGTGGTTTCAGGGGAAGTAACCAAGAACAGGACGGTCTTTTGGGTTGATTTATTTCTTGTTAGCCTAATTTGGAATCTTTTTTAGAGTGTGCGAAGGCATTGTATTTTTAGTTGATGGGCCCATGAATTTGAAAGCTGCAGGTTCTTACCAGTGCTCAGGGAGCTGGGGCGCTGCCAACAGAGAAGATAAAATAAGCTGCCTGATTTCATCCAGCACGTCTTATGTGTGCCAAGGAAAAAAGTCTTTTAACATTCAAAGAGAATAGTTGTTGTTGTTTAGAATGCTGAGAGCCCCAGAGTGGATGGGCTGCGTTCTGCCAAAGCTGTGGCAATAGGTAATTGTCTTCGGGAACATGAGACACTTTATTCTATATAAAACTGATGCCAAGACACGTTTTAAAAATGCAACTACTTCCTCCATTTTTAGATTCTAGTGAGAAAGTAGATCTTTTCCAAGTGGCCTAGCAAGACTGGCCCTCCTCAAGGTCAGTAAATCTCATCCTAGATCTCGGGGATAGGATGGCACTTCTGTAGCAGTCGGAACCCACTGAGACTTTGTGAAACGTGGGAAATATTTACAGGTGGCTAACTCAATAAGGAAAAGTCAATTATGGCAAAACTATCGGCATCACTTTTATAGAGCATTTCCTGTAGGGCAGTTATTCTACTACGCCTTTTATGGGCATTATCTTAGACATGAATTGATTCTAGGAAACAGTTAAGATTGTTGTCTCCATTTTACAGATGAGAAAATCAAGGTAGAGAGAGGTTAAATAATTTCTTTAGGGGCACAGTGCTCATAAAAACAGGAAAGGGGGGGCAGGGAGAGCACTGGGATTTGAATTCAGGGAATCTGAGTCCCCAAAGCTGTGGATTTAACCACTATGCAACACTGCACCAGGAATCCTTTTCTGGTTAAGACCGTTGGAGGAGGCAAAGTCGATTGGCTTACTCGGATGCTGGTGGGCAAGACCAGCTGGATGGGAAAAGATGGAGTAGGTAAAATTGGCCTTTGGTTCTTTTTCATCTTTTTATTCCCTCTCAAGGATTTCTACTAATGTAAACCTCAATCCTGATTGCAAATCTGGGTTGCATTTCTATAGGATTTTACTTTCTAGAAGAGATTACCACTTGGAAGCAGATAAAAGTAGTCACTCTGGGGTGGCACCTGTGGCTCAGTAAGTAGGGCACCGGCCCCATATACTGAGGATGGCGGGTTCTGAACCCAGCCTTGGCCAAACTACAACAAAATAAGAGCCGGATATCGTGGCAGATACCTGTAGTCGCAGCTACTCCAGAGGATGAGGCAAGAGAATCACTTGAGCCCAAGAGCTAGAGGTTGCTATGAGCTATGATACCACAGCACTCTACCAAGGGTGACAACAAAACTCTGTCTCCAAAAAAAAAAAAAAAGAAAGAAATGAAATAAAAAATAAAAGTAGTCACTCTTTAAGGGATCTTTGCATTTTAGTGGAAAATTTTTATGGAATAAAAAAATTTTAAGTACACAGGAGCCATTTGTAAAAGTGACTTTTCAGTCTCTATTTTATTTTTTAAAACATCAACACTTCTCATTTTATTTTTTGTTGTTTTGGAAATACAGTGGTTTTTCACAAAGATACATTATTTATGTTAATAGGTAATAAGTTTATTGTTATTTTGTTTTAATTTCTTTTTTATTTTATTTTTAATTAAATCATAGCGGTGTACATTGATGCAATCATGGGGTACCATGTGCTGGTTTTATATACAATTTGAAATATTTTTATCAAACTGGTTACATAGCCTTCACAGCATTTTCTTAGTTATCATGTTAAGACATTTATATTCTACACCTAGAATTTCACAGGTACCCTTGTAAGATACCCCGTAGGTGTGGTCCCACCAATTACCCTCCCTCCACCTCAGTCTCCATTTCTGACCAATAGAGATGGTATTTTTCAGGCAGTGGAGTCTGTCTGAGGCCCTCAAAGCACCCGGGGGAATGGGAAGTGATAACTTTCTCATCTCCTGGGAAGGCCCCTTATAGTACAGGAAAGGGGACAGAATCAGAGGAAGGAGGAAACCCAGCTGGGGAGTGATCTGAAAAGGGGGAAGAAGAGCGTGGACTCTCAGAATGTGGAGCTGAGTTTAAATTCCGCCTCCGCTGGTTTCTAGCCAGGTACCTCTGGGCAAGTGATGAAAGTCACCTGGATACAAATTCCTACTGTATAGAGTGTTGAGGATTAAGATAAAAAATGAAAAAGGCAGCATCCAAAGGCACGACCCTAGACAGGAAGGAGGTTCTCAGCCAGGTTAACGCCCTCTCTCCACCCCCTGCCACACTGTGAGCGGTGGAGGGCATGAGGAAGAGAAATGGTGAAGATGGATGGAGAACTGTCAGAAGAGAAAGAGCCTGAGCGTCAGATTCCTTGATGGAACGAATTTTGTTATCCATTCATTCATTCAACAGATAACCCGACTGCCTCTGCGGTTCTCTGGGGTTTGAGACTTACACTCACTGCATTTGGAAACGCTGATTTTGTGAGATCGTGTTTGTATACATTCAGAATCTGACAAACCCAGCCGACTGAAGGCCTGAAGGCCTTGCTGGTGCCTTTATTTTGATCTTCTTCAAATGTACTTTCCAATGAGAACTTCAGAAAGTTAAAAGATAATCATTTTCTTCTGTTTTACCACATTATCCTAGAACATTCTGCACAGAACACCTTACTTAGTCACACCCTTTTTAGTCACCAGATCTACCACTAACCACGGGTCACTGCTGTCTCTGGTAGGTGTGTGTATCTGGCATGGAAAACATCAAAATATGGTCATTATTTACCTATTTTGGAAACTCCACAGCTCCTGAGTTAACAGTAGCAACTGTCACAACTCAGGTGATATAAATCATTGGATTTTTAAGAGCTTCTATGGAATTTTTTTTTGAGACAGAGCCTCAAGCTATCCCCCCTGAGTAGAGTGCCATGGCATCATAGCTCACAGCAACCTCCAACTCCTGGACTCAAGTGAGTCTCCTGCCTCCACCTCCCAAGTAGCTGGGACCACAGGCACCTGCCACGACACCCAGCTATTTTTTGGTTGCAGCTGTCATTGTTGTTTTGGTTGGCCTGGGCTGGATTCGAACCCACCACCTTAGGTGTATGTGGCTGGCACCTTAGCCACTTGAGCCACAGGTACCCAGCCACTTTTGTGGATTTTAATTGAGTATCATGAATTACATTTTTGTTCTTTAACTAAGACCACATATATAATGACACCTGACACCTTTGGACTTTGATTTCTAGAATAACAAGCCAAGAAAGATAGATATTAGTGCTCTAACTTAGGGGATAGGAAGAGATGATTCTTAATAATCCTATCGTAACGCTGTGCTATTGGGGTTTGTGGAGGTCCCCCATCCTCCCCAGCCTATATATATAAATAAGGTCGTGATAATGCAGTTCACATTTTCTGGTCTTGCAGCTGGGCTGTTCCAGCCAAACTCTCCCACATTCTGACAGCCTTGAAGGGTTGTCTTTCTCATGCATGACAAAGGGTTTGTACCCACTGGGTAAAGCTGCTGCCTCTCTGGCTCTGCTGAGTGTGTGCTCTGTCAGCTGCCAGTGCTCCTTGGGAAGGACGCCACTCTCCGCAGAGCGTTGTACCCTGGGGTTTCCTGTTGTGTCACCAGGCGCGAGGGTCTCCTTGGGCTTCCCTAGACTGCTAGAGCCTCAGTGTCTTCCTATAGGAGAGACTCTTCCCCTCCCTAACTCTGTGCGCCCCTGTCACTGGATCTGAGTTAAAACTGTTTGGCACACAACTAAACAGCTTCTTCAGGTTACACCTGTCTCGCTTCCCCTGCCTTGTTAGCTTAGGAAGGGCAGCAGAGACAGGAGGAGAGTCAGACCATCCCTCCATTGTGTTCACCTCTCCCCTGTATCCCCCGGAAACTCATGAACCAGCTTTGTCCCTTTTCCTTCAGCTGAAAACCAAAAGCCTTTATACACAGCAACACAGGCAGGGCTCTGCCTTCCGAGTCACTGCCCTTCCCCCGGTCTGGGCTTCGGCTCAGCAAGACCCATGCTGCTACCCCTTCATGAAGTTATCTGGTTTCGCTGACCTCATAACCATGAGGGAGCAGGGGTGCCATCAGGGTCTAGCAGTGACCAGTCACCAGCCACTGTGGATGACCAACCAGGACTGGCCAGTAAAGGAATCACAGTAGCAGATGGGGGAATTGCCATCCAGGAGCTTGTTAACTCATGTCAGCATGAGGTGACTGAGATGGAGCTCAGAATGTGGAAGGTGACTTGGCCGAGGAGACAGCTGCGTGTAGTTGAGAGGAATGTTTCCATTTCTGGGGCCTTCGACACAGTACAGAGGTTTGTCCTCAGGCCTTCAGTTTTCCTAAGGCAGGGAGTCTCAGGACCCAGATGGGAAGCAAGGGATGCCAGCCTCACCACTCAGACCTCAGAGGAGACAAGAAGACATCACACAGGGGTGGTGATGTAGGTTTTTGCACTTAGCGTATGGTGTTTTAACAAGCAGGACCCTTTGAGCTACATATCCATAAGAAGGCATAGTTTTGTTCATGAGCTCATCCACTCTTGTCTTTCTAATGGAAACAGGACCCCCAGTCATTCATTCTGGAATCAAAGACCTCAAGGTCTTGAAAACAACCCAGTCTGGATTTGAAGGCTTCATCAAGGACCAGTTCACCACCCTCCCTGAGGTGAAGGACCGCTGCTTTGCTACCCAAGTGTACTGCAGGTGGCGCTACCACTGCGGCAGGAGCGTGGATTTTGATGCTACCTGGTATGAACCTGGGCCAGCACCCGGCACCGCACCAGGGCTGACAGCAGCTACCTTTTTCCCAGGGGCCCAGAGTTCATAGAGGCCTGGATCTCAATTTACAGGCTGCTCAAGTCAACCTGCCCACTATTCAGAAATCTCTTCTCTTTCATAATTTGGTGGTTCTCAAACCTTGGTGTGCGTTGAATTGCCTGAGGGTTTATTAAAATGAAGCTCTCATTGGCCTGCCCTCTGCCCCCAGGGTTCTCATTCTCTTGGTCTTGGGGGGGGTGCCCAAGGAATTTGCATTTCTAACAAACTCCCCCCCCACCCCATGCTGATGGTTGCACTTTAGGAACCATGACGTCAAATGAACATGATCTCTGGCCTTACTACCCACTAGTGATACACAGAGGGCTAAACTAGGGTGACCGACCTGTTGCCGTTTGCTGGGGACTTTCCACTAAAAATCTCATGTCTTAGCAAACCCCTTTGCCCTGGGGAAACAGGACAATTGGTCACTCCAGGCCAAGCTCAAAATAATGATGTTCACAGAAGCGTTTAGTAAATGACAAATGCTTTAAACTATTATCAGTCTAAATAACACACAGCAACTCTCCAAATATACAGAGTTTATTTGGGAATGTGCGGGCGGTTTGCAAATCCGGGCTATGCAGGCTAAGGGAACCACAGACACATCCAAAAAGTCTGGGGGAAGCTTTTCGCACCAAAAGAGGATAGTACACGTAATTTGGTTTGAGACAGTGAGAACTCTGGTTACAGCGACTTATCACAGGCGTTGACGCCAGTTCATTAGTGGAGACAGCGTGTCAGTGAGTGGAAGATCTTGCACGTCCGGCTCGCTGTCCTGTGACTCTTGTATCAAGCTGCAGTTTGAAAAGCCGCTGGCAAAGCTTCTTATTGCAGGCATAGGGTGTAAGAGCCCTCTGGGGAGGCTTTGCAATAGTTCTTACAGGCATGTGGCATGTAGACCTCCCAGCTAAGTTAATTTATTCTGGTAAAGTTTGACACAAGTGATTCCATTTTGCTTCTGAGAACTTTCCCCATCTACAGCTATGGTCATTATTATAGTATCTTTGACAAGGAGTAATAAGGTCTGTGAATTCTCAGGGCTTGCTTTTTGACGAGGTATCTCCTTCCTTTGCTGAAGCTCTAAGTGTTGGAAATTTCTACCCTCTGATGAGCTGGAATCTGCACACGCACACCCCACCCCACGCAGCTTCCTCCCACGGTTTTTCTCTGATCCTTTTATTATGCAATAGGTGTTAAAACGCTTGGAGGAAACCTCATCCTGGTCCTCTTTCCTTTTTACTTCAAGTGTTCTCCATGGGCAGCAGCCTGATGTTTTTATGTTGAAAAGAGGGGGAAATTGAGCAGGCCAGAGTCAGGGCAGCCCTGTAGGCCAGCCGGCCTCCCTCTAAGGAGAGTGACTTGGAGCAGATCATTTAACTTTTAAACTCAGACTCCTCGTCTCTGAATTGGAGGTAATAATAACACCTACTTCAGCTATAGCCAGAGAATTCAGTGACATAGTCACATCAAACGCTTAGCTCAGAGTCTGGCGCAGAGCAGCCTCCTCCAGGAATAATTCAAGGTACCAGCCCCACAGCAGAGAGGCAGGCAGAATACTTGGGAGCCCTCTTCAGTCGGGGAGTCCTGGGGAGTCCTCTTCACCAGGAGGGAGCTCTGTTCTGAGGGCTCTGGCCCCAGACTGTGAAGACAGCCTAGTGGTGTTCAGTATGTTTGTTGAATGGGGTGTGTGTGTGTGTGTGCAGGGGACCAGGAAATGAGGGTGGCTTTTTTGGTATTACAAGATAATTCTCTTCTAAAACCATCCATACAATTCTTTTCTGAGCAACAGAAGGGTCTCTACTTCTTAGCATTCCTAAAATTCCAGCCTCGCAGGGTCCTGAGTTACCTACCTTCTCTGTGTTTTAGGGATACGGTCCGGGACATTGTCCTGGAGAAGTTTGCTGGGCCCTATGACAAAGGCGAGTACTCGCCCTCTGTGCAGAAGACCCTCTATGATATCCAGGTGCTGTCGCTGAGCCATGTGCCTGAGGTATGTTCTGCTGGTTGCCGTCCTGGGGACTGAGAGAATGTGTTTCTTCTGTCAGCTCTGGGAAGGAGTTGAGAGTTAAAATAAGGAAGTGGAAGACGCATGAAAAATGACATCTGTTGTTCAAAAGCTTGTTACAGCAAGTGAGAAGAGAGAAAAAAAAAAAGGGAAAAATCTGTCCAACCTGAAACACAGACCCCGGCTGCAGTTCTTTAGTTTTGTGGAAAATTCTTTGAGTCCCTTCAACCTGCCACTGAGTTAAGCCTCCTATTTAGGACACTTGAATGCCTCCAAGGAGAGGAAATTAGAGGAAGGTTCTGTATTTCAGGGGAGCCAGAGAATGAGAGAGAGAGGGAGAGAGATTTCCTCCATCCATTCATCCATTTTACTTCATATCATTGAATGTTGCTATGTCTCTGGCAGCGCACAAGGAATACAAAGATAGACTAGATGTCGTTCCTACCCTCAGAGAGCTCAGCATTCAGGAAAGGAAGAAAATAAGTCAAGTAACTTACAGGAGAGAAAGGAGGGTGATGGGAATCAGCTAACTCAGGTACAGGGGCCAGGGATCCAGATTCCCGTAGGTTTTCTAGAGGGAGAGGTGCCTGAGTGGAGTGTTTAGGGACAAACAGAGAGTATCTGTCGAGTATCCCTCAAGGCGAGGGAGCAGGAAGGCATGGAGACAGGAGAGGGCCTCATCTAGTCATTCACCATGGCAGGTCTACCACATGGAATCCCTAGAGTGGAAAGTCTTAGCACGTCCCTAGAGGGCCTTTGTGGGCTCATTTATAGAGTCTATTTTATCTTGAAACCCACTGAGGGGTTTAAGCAGGGTGTGGTATCATCAGATTTGTGCTCTAGAAAGATTATTCTGATAGCAGTATGATGGATTAAAAGGATGATGCCTCCTCCACAGGCAAGGAGGCTTGTTGGGACACTACTGCAGAAACCTGGCAAGGAGAGCCTGGGCCCAGGTCATGATGGGGAGGGGGAGGAGTACCACGCTTAGACAGGGGCAGAGGGACTCTTGCCACAGCCCCACACCGTAGAGGACCCCTTCAGGAATTCCTCTGGCTATGCCTTCTTCCACTGGGTAAAGAGTCAGGGTCCCTATATCCCCCAGGATTTCCTGCCCTGGGACTACTTCCAAAACCTGGACGTGCTGCTTCTTCAGATCTGTTGCCCATGGAGCAGATTGCGCCACTGGTGTGTATGCTGCTGGTGTGCATGGTACTAGTGTGCACGGTACTGGTGTGCATACTTTTGGTGTGCATAGTTCTGGTGTGCACGGTACTGGTGTGCATAGTTCAGGTGTGCACAGTACTGGCGTGCATGGTACTGGTGTGCATGCTACTGGCGTTCATGGTACTGGTGTGCATGCTACTGGTGTGTATGCTGCTGGTGTGCATGTTACTGGCGTGCATGCCACTGGTGTGCCTGGTACCAGTGTGCATGGTATTGGCATGCATGGTACATGGTACTGGTGTGCATGCTGCTGGCATGCATAGTACTGGTGTGCATACTGCTGGTGTGCTTGCTACTGGTGGACATGCCTCTGGTGTGCATGGTACTGGTGTGCATGCCACTGTTGTGTGTGCTACTGGTGTGAATGGTAGTGGTGTACATGCTGCTGGTATGTGCTGCTGGTGTGGAAACTGGTGTGTGTGCTACTGGTGTGCATGCTGCTGGTGTGCTCCCTTAGGGCTGAGAGGGCACAGGAGCAGCTGTGGCAGGAGGTATGGAAGGGCACTGACCTACAAGCTGGAGCAAATGTCCATGTGAGTCTAAGCTAGAAGGTACAAGAGGCTCCAGGGGCTGCAGACTGGCTCTTCTCATGTTGCTGTGTCCTGGCAGGGCACCGAGTGAGAGTCAGAGAATCGTATATAGAAACCTGGCCTTCCTTGTTATGGAGTTATTTTTGTCAAATTAGGAGACTAGAGCACATTTGACTTAAATGGTTTTTGGTTTGATTTATAGCACTTAAATCTTTATGCATCTGGTATATGGGTGTCCAATTATACTCTAATGCCAGGGCCTGTAGATGTTAGGGACAGGCCTGGAGAGGAAGGAGTGGAATGGGGAGGACTAGGAGGTTGACGGGTCGGTACCTAGAGGCCAGTTGGGTCCCAGATGTCTGACCCAAGGAGCCTTTTCCTTCAGAGAAGTAGCTTTTGTGCCCTGAAAAAGGATGAGTGGTCGGGCCGTCTAATCCTGGGATCAGAGGGAGAGAACAGTGTCAGGCAGCACAGGAACATCGGGGGGCGTTTCCAAGACAGAGACGGAGTCTGAGTGATGGGCGAGGGGGGCTGGAGTGACAGAGAGACTCACAGTGGAAATGCCCAATGTGACACATGCTCTTGTGGATTGTTATGGATTCCAGATAGAAGACATGGAAATCAGCCTGCCAAACATTCACTACTTTAACATAGACATGACCAAAATGGGACTGATCAACAAGGAAGAGGTAAGAGAACGCCAGAAATATTTAAAGCACATCTCTGCCCCAGCACCCTTTATAAACTTGGGATGACAATATCACAGACTAAAACTCTTAACAGCTGTTGCTTTGGGGAATATTTATAGTTGCCACTGATTAGAGCCCTCCTCAACTCTGGGCCTTTCAATGCCTGAGGCTGGAGTGCCCCAGAAGTGGATGAATGATTACAGAGGGCTGCAAGTTGCAGAGAGGGAAAGCTAAGAAGGAACAGAGTGTGCCCAAGGAAACAGCTCTGAGATCTACTTCTCTGAAAAGGGCCACACAAGGTCACAGCTACATTATTCTTCCATCATGAGGCGAGGAGGAGAAAAAAAAAAGACAGATTCTATTTTCATTTTCTTCCGTCATCTCTACCTTTGATTAAGTAGTCGATTCAGTAGCACATAATACACACAAGAAAAGACGAAAGAGTATTTGTGTTTCTAATTGCAGTTACTGAAGGCAGGACAAGGAAATTCATTTTTGAAAGGAAAACTTAGTCTCGGAAAAAGTGCTTACCCTGACTTGTTTTCAGCTGTGGCAGAAGGTTGACCCACTCCCTATGTGTGACTAAGGAGCCCAGAGGTCTGACCAGTAGCCTGGTGTGGTCTGTTTTTTTGGGAGGTCGGAACTGTCCCTTCCTCTTTGATCACTTTCAAAATAATAGAATTTCTCAATTGGATCTATCCTCCCACTCAGGTTTCTAGAATGTGAAAAACACCATTCTGGGTGACTTCTTTAGTATGGGTGGGGAGTGAGATAGTAAAGGGGCCCTCTGTTGGCTTGGCTCTGCTCTTGTATAATCATGTCCTTTGGTGGACAAAGGCTAATGAAGGGGTCTCTGCAAGCTCCCACATTCTGAGCCTGCTGACCCAGGGGCCTCCCCATCCCTCTGGCCAGGCCTAGTTTCTGTTCTACAGATAATGTTGGGGAGCTCCACCTGGCTTTGCACCACGATCAGCTGCAGGTGGAGGTGAGGGTGGGGCCGGGAAACCAAGGTCATGCTTCTGCACATGGTAAAGAGATCTACAGCCCTGAGTTGCTGAGGACAACCTGGGTCCCAGGTGCTGTCCATTCAGCTGAAAGGCAGGGCATCATCATTTACTTCAGAGGAAGGAAAGGATGGTGACTACCAGAATGCCGTTAATTAGAATATGAAGCCTTGGCTTGGCGCCTATAGCTCAACTGGCTAAGGCGCCAGCCACGTACACCTAAGGTGGCGGGTTCCAATCCCCAGCCTGGACCCGCCAAACAACAATGACGGCTGCAACCAAAAAATAGCCAGGCGTTGTGGCGGGCGCCTGTGGTCCCAGC